CTGCTAAAACCAGAAAAACGTATCAAGACTGTGAATCCCTAGCAAAACCCAATACAATCCCTTAGTCTTGGAAAAAAGAATCCAGTTGTGTTTCCGTCCGCCCGACGGGAGCACAGTTCGACCGAGCAACAAGGCATAAACCCTAAAACGTAAACACCATAAGCCCCAACCCCTAAATCCCTGGACTTTTGCACTCTAGACCTCAAGCGCCGATACTTTAAACTAAGAACTGAACCTCTGTACTCCTAGCGGCAAGCTCCAAAAAAATTAGAAACACCAAAACCGTGGAGCCCCACATCCCTAAAACCGCAAGTGCCGCAAAACCTTTACTTTGAATCCAAGTCGGCCCCCAAAGCCCTTGTAGATCCCTCAGAAGAGCCCTAAATACAGAGGTCATGATGGTGACCTGTACTATTGTGGGGGTTTCTTAGTGCAACTATAGAATAATATACGCCCGCCCACCTTGCCTGCCTGCCTCGCCCAGGCTCCCGTTCTGTTTGAAGTGAAGTAATTGATGGGCCCCAAACATTATTCACACTATTCTAATTATTACGGCCCCTACATTACACACTCGCCACCCCGGCCAAGGAGACTTTGGGTGCGACATTGGCCTCGGGAGGTCGGAGGTGTGACAGCAACTCTCTGAAGACTTCTCGAAGATGTGTTGTAGAAGTTCGGGGTTTATGGTTTAGGGTTGCTCCCTTTAACTGAAGAAGGAGTACAGGAGCTTGCATGCTGAGAAACGATGTTGTAACATACACCAAAACCCTAGTCAGGTCTGGGGTGCAGGGCGTAGTAGTGGTAGAAAGTTGATAGAAGAACGAGAAGCCTTTGGAGAGAGGAGGATGACGATGCCTTGATGGACCGACCAACCGACGGGTATGGGCTTTGGGAACAAGGGTTTAGAATGCAGGGTTTAGGGCCTAGGGTGTCAGTACTACGGGTGTCGGCTTATGTTGGTTTGGGATCAAGCCTGGGATCAAGCCCCTCACAAGCCCAGCATGAAACCCACAGCCAACTTATTTCACGAGATCGGCCACTTAGAAACTTCGCGTATCAAAGGAAGCTATAGGTGGAGGAGATTGGCTTTTGTTGCAAAGGTTTTGGGTTCAGGGTTCAGGGATCGCGTAAAGCATGGCCATAGGTCCTCGCAAAGATTCCGAAATGCTTCAATCAGGCAGTGTTGTCTAAACCATGCCATTTCCAATCGCAGAGTCCATCAGTGTGTCTGGTGGTGAAGAGCGTGAGGCGGCGTGCCTCACATCTGGCCAGCTTCAGTTCGGTCTAGGCAGCCTCCCCGAGCGCAAAGAAGCGCCGGCAAGACAGGCACATCGTGAGAAGCCGCGCGTGCCAGAAACGCCGCTGGGGTGCTCCTCGGTTTCATCTCCGGGTCGTAGGGGTCACAAGAATAAGAACGAGAACAACAATGAAAGAATAACAAGACAAAGAACAGTACAAGAAGACCAAAACGAAGACCAACAAGAAGCCAAAGAATGACAAGAAGAAGAAGAAGAACAAGAAAGAACCACAGACACCGAGCAAAGACACAGAATTCGAACACAGGGTGTGTTGTGGCTGTTGCGCGGGCACAACACCCATGTAGTTGCAACCTGTGGGACACATCACAGCAGCTCTTCGTGTATCAGCACTTTGTTTTCGAAGTTGGAGGCGCAGAATCCACTAAGACATTTTTTCTGCTCACTGCGCTTTTCTGCCTTTGCTGTTTCGATCACAGCACACTGTAGAGCGTCGAAAAAGGTCGGTCATAAGCGGAAAAGCATTTCGGGACAAAAGCGTTTCGAGGTTTGGACCGAGGGGAGAAGACACATGTCGGTGGTGAATGAATGAGCAGCTCGTTTTGTATTTTGTGTTGGGCTAGCTAGGGTCTATTTTCGGTGCTTTGCTCAAGGGCTCTTCGAAACAGGGCAAGAGCTTAAAGTGTTTTAAACAGAAACATTTTCATGAAGTATGGCTCACCATAGTTTCAGAGAGCTTGTTGGTTTCCTGTGTTTTCCCTGTGTCGAATCTTTCCAGGGTTGTGTTGAAGGCTGATGTGGTGAGGCTTTCGGCTTACATGACCCTAAGGATGAAGATGTGCAATGTTTAAGGGCTGCGCGGCGTGACGCACAAAGAGTCGCGAAGGTGCAGCTACATTTGCTAAGTGCCCTGGCCCTGACTGGCAATTTATTCATGTAGTGCACTGCTGCTTAGTCAATGCAGCATTTGCGCTGTGCATGGCATGCTCAAGCCCGCCAAAGAGCTTTGGGCTTTCCCCAGCTGGTCGTAGGACACTTCTTCGAGCAGTAGACCACAATCAAATTCGTTCAACCCGTAAGCTTTTAAGTTTCTAGGATGCTGAGGCAGGACTCAGCCATGGTTCCGGGAGACTTACCTCCGAACCTTTCACAGCAGGCTCATTCTTCAATGACTAGCTAGTGTCGTATCGGTTCTGGAATGAATTGTTTGATGGTGTGTTGACAGGGATGGTGGTTCCGTTGTTTTGTTTCAGCAGTCCTTGGTTGGCCAGATCGTCACGGGTCTTAGAATTTGCAGCCTGCGCATCCTCTGTTGTTTCCGGGTGTCTTTTCCGAAAACCTACCGCTGACTGAGCATGAATGAAAAGATGTCACTTGCTGCATGCAGGCACTGCCTGTTCCGGCGCTCATGGGCCGTGCCCAGATTGAGGCTCCTTGGGGAAGCGAAAGGGGAAAGCGATGCTGTAAAGCAGCAGTAGACTCCGAGATAGCACCACGTGACAAGGGACGAAATGGTTGAGCGGGTGCTGTAGTGCGAATTTTTCTGCAGGTTTCTGTGAGGAACCCCAAGCTCCTTTCCTGCTGTGGTTGGAGAGGGCATGCTTACCATGTACTATAGGGGCCCCGTCTAACCTTCCCCACCCAGTCCGTCAGCGTGGACGCGGTTGTGATGCGCTGCGTGCAATAAACGTTATTATGTTTCTGGCACGCCGTGATGCGCCGCACGTGAAATCATGTTATCATCCGAGCACCCATGGTTCAGGGTCTAGGGTTTCCTCAACAGTTGAAACCATGCTGAGTTTGGCTATGGGGGTTCTGCACCTGATACTTCCAAAGTCGCAGCCGTTGGTGCAGAAGCCGATGGACGCATGGATTCAGGGCTTCTGCTAGGGTCAAGAAACATGGGTTTGTGGGGTTTGGGGGCGCACTGTAACGATAACGTTTACAAGGTTCACGGCCACGGGGTTTGTGGGCTATAGATGTCTCCCAAAGTAATGCAGGGTTTGGGGGCATGAGGTTCGTGGGTTTTGGGCTCGCCTACCGAGGGTCACATTCAGGCGGATGCTGTGGTGGTGGAGCTCGCTCGTGACACAACGTTGTTATTAGCACCCGCCCCCCCACACCCCCCCTTCCACCCGCCCCCACATCAGGTGGTCAGGTTCAAAGTGTATGTTGTTGTGGTGTCGCTCGTGACACAACCTTGCTATTAACCTCCCCCCCCACCCCACAGCCCTCCAAAAAAAATCGGAAACACTGAGCAAACGGGTGTGTTTACTCCATGGAAATTTCTAGGCCTAGGCCTTTTTTGCCTTGTGAGACTTGTACACGTCCCAGAAGGTTCCAGAGGGGCGTTTGGGGTTTCAGGGGTGGTCTGTTTGGCGTCCATGGACGGAAGCCCTGTGAAGGCCAGGGTTTTTTGCCCGGAGCAAACGGGTGCGTTGACTCCATCGGGACTGCAATCAAGGCCTGTAAATTGCTCGGCCTTTTTTGCTTTGTGAGACATGTGCACGTTCCAGAGAGGGGCTTTTGGGGGGGGTCCCGGAAGGCCCAGCGGTGGTCACGTTCAAGTGTATGCCGTCGTGGTGTGGCGTGACACAACGTTGTTATTACCCTTAATAATTACCTACATTATCTTGGGCGGGGTTCCTTATTACATTTATGGTGTAACGGGCCCCACAACCTTAGTCTAATTACTAAGGCTATTAGACATTTTAAGCAAACTGGGGGCCCTCGGCCCGCGAACCCTGCAAGGTCTCCGTGCCGACCCCAAGTCTTGCCGACCGGGCAAGATGTCCCCAGTGGGTCCCTGGAGTGGCACTCGATTGGCCATGAGGTTGAGCGGTTATTGGGGTTGGGTAGATTGGGATGTGACCAATTATCCTCAGTAATGATATGAACCTCCGAATCGGGGGAGCTTGAATCTCGCGGAACGTCAGAGGCCTCCTGCTGCTGCGGATGATGATGACGATGATGGTGATGGTGAGGATGGTGAGGATCACCAGCTGCGTTGTTGCTGCTGTTGCTGATGCTGAGGAGCAGGAGGAGGATGAGACAAGCAGACTGGACATTGTGTATGCCAGCAATCGTCGTAGTCATCGATCGTCGTTGTCAGACGTCGCAGCATGGTTTGCTGAGCATCGGCAACAGGATGGCACGGGGTTTGCGGCAGTAGGTGCGGACTATCAGGACTGTCGTTGTAATCTGTTCTGAGAAGTATGCTGAGGCCGACTTCAACGCTGTACACAATCTGCCCGAATAGAGTTTATGGCTGCAGCAGAACGGAGGCGGTTGTCAAGGCAGGCCCGAGGCTGCAGCAGAGAATTCAGTCGGTTGACGGTATCTGTTTAAGCAGGAGAAAGGTCTGACTTTCACACTGACCCTTGCTCTGTGCTGGCATCAGATGCTCCTATAGTTGGAGCTTTGCTAACCCTTTCGGAATCCCTGAAACACTCGAGTCTTTTGACCTGAGGTGCTGTGCAGGCTTTGCACGTGCACGAAAGTGGTGGTTTGTACCTCCATCGTCGTGGGTGTATCTCAACTTGTCCTGTTTGCAACTTGGCTGCACTTGGTTGAAGTAAGGGCTGTCGAAAAGCCTCCGCTGAGCTTTTCCCCCTCAAGAGGCATTAACCCTAAACCCTATGCCCTAAACCCTAAACCCTACCAGGTAGTAACCTGAAACCCTGAAGCCCCTAGCTGCAACGGACGAAGGTCCTAGAGACAGAAAGGACGGCACCGACCTACGCCATGGCTGGGTGCAGCACGGTGGCCGGGTGCGCAGGCCGTCATTTCTGAGGGGTGGTTTTCACGTATCCTTTACTAGAATGTCTTTGTCGATCTTGCATTTTATAGGCAGTTGTTTGGTATTCTACTGCATCCTGTTCCATACAGGCGACCAGGTCTTGTTGTTGCATCTCTTGGAAAGACTTTCTGCGTTTTCATTTGCCGCAAGTTGGGCGGCACGTCCCGTGCACATTACATGGCGACAGAAATTCAAGTGAGGGTCGACCGATGCAGTGTAAACAAGCCCGAAGCCGGTTTCTGTTGATCCTCCATCCGCGCTCTTGGCCCGGAGCCAGTATGCAGGATCTGGGTTTAATCAACCTGATCGCCAGAGACCTGCTGACGGTGGTGTGGAGTTCTTTCGGGAGTTTGATATCTCCTCAGCGCTTTATCACCAACAATTCGTGCAGCTCCAAGTTTCCGTGAGGATTCACTTTTTGAGGGTCCTGTGCCAGAAGAAGATGGGTTTGAGGCAGATTCGTAGCATCTCTGTTCCGTGTTCATTGAAAGCGACTTGATAGCATGACATCCGCGAAGCCACGATAAGCAATACGACGGACTGACCACCTGCTTTGCAGGTGTGTACTTGTGCTTCCGGGCAAGTTCAACGCACGCAAGGTGGACAGCAGGCATGGTCTTGCTGTTGATAAAGCCCTGAAGTCTGCATCCCAGGCATTCACCGCCCGAATCTTGATCCCGTCAGCTATCTACAACCCTAAACCCCAAAGCCAAAAACCCCAAACCCTAACTTATTTAAGTTGTGCCAGATGCCTTTCCTGCGGCTGCCAGGCTTCCTCTTGTGGACCTGGATTCTGGGGCTGGTCCAGACGGATGGAATCCAGAACATCCAGTTCCTCGTGGGACCTGGACGCTAGGTTCCCTACAGATGGGAGTTTCCGAAAAATAGGGGTACCTGATTTTGGAGTCCTTTTAAGAATCCCACTATTTAGGGTACTATATAAGCGTCCCCCATTTTCGGAAACTGCCAGATATCACGCATAGTGGAATAGGTGATGCATGGTTTGGGTGGAGCACCGAGTCACGATAACCACCTAGGTCAAGGTTTTTCAGGACTCCAAGGACTCCCAGACTGTTGCTTGTAATCTCAACACGTGGACACAGGTGATAATAATAGTATCAATAGTAGCAGTAATAATGATAATGTTAATGCTACTAATAATAATAATACTAATACTGGCAATACCAGTTGTAAGAACAATGACAACAGTAATTGCTATGGTGGTAGTAGTAGTAGTAGTAGTAGTAGTAGTAGTAGTAGTAGTAGTAGTAGTAGTAGTAGTAGTAGTAGTAGTGATAATAACAATGCTAACAATAGTAAATCATGAAAACAACCCAAAAACAGCTCCAGGTCGACCAGATCCTCGGCCCTAAGACCCGCACTTTTACCCCTGCAACCATTGGGACCCTGAGGGGGGGGGGGGGTAGGGGAGAGGGGGGTAGGGGACTATACTTCCTTAAATGGGCCTTATTAAGTCCTTATTATAGGTATTAAGGCCCCCTACTCCCCTCCCCCCTAGGATGTGGAAAAGTCATGGAAATCAGGTGGGGCGTTTTGATGATGACGATGAGCCCAACAACACGAAGACTAGTACTAATACCAAGAATATTAAAGCTAATGCAATACTAAGAAGAAGCATGCTAGTAACAGTACTCCTAATTTGGGCGTGTTCTGAGGACGAGAGGATCCCCGGTTCAGGCTGACCAAGCTGAGCAATGACATTTTGCGGCCCATACAGGAAGTTTGGCTCATTCTGCTTTCCGTCCCGTGGTCTGGTTGGAAGCATTTTAGACCCTAAACCCCTAAAGCCTAAACCCCAGGCCCTAAACCTCTAAATACAGAGGTTGTTGGGGCAACTCCACAGCGCTCGACGGTTCCGGGGTGAGGATCCAGGGAGCTAGGCCAGGATTGAACTTCAAAGGCGTGGAGAACACAGCATTGAAGCGTAGATCCGTTGTTCATCCAGGACTCTGAGCAGTTTGTTGGCACCATGCTTTGATCACAGCCGAGCACGCACTGCACACGGTCAAGCATGCGGTGAAGCATATGTGCATTAGCCCTTACTGTGCTGATTTGATGGTGACGTATCGGACGGAACTATGGTCGTGGTTGTGTCAAAGCCGTTTGGGGTCTTATATCAACTTCAATGGGCACCTCCCAGTAAGACCGTGGCTCAGAGCCCGGTGCACCTAATTGTGTGGTTTGTTCAGCCTGTGTACACGGGTAGAAGAGGGATGCAGACAACCTCTACAGAGTGTAGTGAGGCCCTACGAGATACGGACCAACAAAGCTTTGTCAGAAGACGGCAACTTTCGAGGTGCAACGCCTAAACTCGTTGCAGAGCTCTGCCGAGTACGAGTTCATCCCCAACTTGAGAAGGGTTCCATGGCTGTTGTTACTTATGCTGCTGCTGTGAGCCTGCTGCTGCCAGTACGATGATCTAAGCGGGTATTAGAATTCCTCTCTTCCTCTGTTATGCACAGGGACCAATGGGAGAGGGAGAATGCTGGACTTGTGACGTAGTTTGAAATCAGCCGAGTTCTCATTGGTGCATCACAAAGAGAGCAGCTGCCCTTTTCACAGGCCAACTGGAGGTCCGAGGACGAAAGAAACAACACTTTCTAGGTATAAGACAGTTTTGAGACGAGCGGAAGGGGTACACAGCAGAAGACAGGTAACGATTAACTTGATTAAGCTACCAATATCAAAAGCACAGATTGGCACCTACAGCAAGACGGGTTTGTTGAATCGGGTCCCTGCTTCCTGACGTGCTCGCCTTCCCCAGCTGAAGAGCGAGCAGCAGGAGGTTTCGTATTTCAACAGGGTATTCTGCTTGGAGTAGTGATACGTACAACCACTTATAACCCCGATTAGGGTACTTATAAACCTTACTCACGAAATTCGGCAATCAAAAGTTCTTGTAGCTTGTAACTCGCAGAAGCGGGCCTCCTGTTTCTGGTTTCTCAATACCCTTAGCCGGCCCGAAAGCTGACGTCCGTTCACGCCTGGATCCCGAAATGTCCGGAGAGATTTGGATCAGTGGAGGGGGGGTGGGGTGGGTTTCACGACCTTTATGGGTATCTCGAGTTTGCCCAAGACTGACGGGCTGAAGGATGGGACCCCTCTTGCATAAATCAGAAAATTTCAACTCTTTCCACGTGTGTAGTCCCTAAATAGCAAGTCTGTATTCCCACAGCCTGTTTTGAGCATTTCCTTGGAGCAGTTTCTGCAACGCGAGGTGTTTTGGGCAGTCGGCCTTGTGTACATTCTGGGCCAGGCTACGCTGGCATGTGCTCAGTGGACTTTTTCCGGAGATATTGGGCGCATTTCTTGAGGTTTTCGCTTTGGGAGTCTGTGTTTCTCGAACTGCCTGCCTGTGCTACATTTACAAGCCAGCGAGGTTGTGGGCATGGCTGTGGCGCTCACAATGCCTTTGCCTACACCTATGAGCCGAGGTGTCGACTTTTTGCAGGACTGTTGCTTAATAAGTTTTCTGTTTGCAGATGCAGAAGAAGAAGACCAGCCTCCTCAATCAAGCCAGGAAACCTGGCAGTATCGACCACTACTTGTATTGATGCTACCACCACCAACAGCATGAACGACATCAGCAACAACGTCAACAATGATAGTAAATAAGACAAACAACTAGCAGTGCCAGCGTCAACAGCACCAGCAAATCAGCACAAGCAGCAACGGCGGTAGAAATGCCGTCATGACCGACAAAAACTGGTAGGGACCGGCTATGTCAACGGCACATGTTATGTATGTTGCAACGTCGTCTGCTGGTTCATGTTCGTGTGGAATCCACCATGTTTAGGGATAAGCAATTTCGCGTTGTGTTAAGTGGTGTGAATTGCACCATGCTGGGTTGAACTGTCACAACACCCTACACGGATTTTGTTTACGCGTGTCTTGGAGTGTCAAACCGTGTCAAAACAGAGTCTGGAGCTTGTCCAAGAAGGTCGCTGGGTTGTGTGGTAGTTTTTCGAAGGACTTGTGTCATGACCATTGATTCAGCACGGGATTCAGCACGGTATAGCTTTCTTGTTTCACGGCTGCCCGTTGCTCTAGCTATTACAATCGTCCAAGGAATAGTAATGCACTCGGGGGTTGGCCGTAAGTGGTGGTATGATGTTTGGGGTGTGTTTCATGATGGTTTAGGAATGGCTGTTCTGGTGAGCTTCGGCACTGAAATCTGGACATGGATGGTGCTGTTAACCGGATGCAATAGAACGTGGTTTCTTGCGCTTCGGACATGGATGCGCCTGTGCGTGGATACACGAGGACGTGAACCCGATCCCTGAGGGAAAACTCCAGAGAGCCGGTTCGAAGCGGACTCGCACTACCACTCGCCGTCTCTAACTCCTCCTGGCACTACTACACAAGAAGATGACTACTAGTATTACGACTGCTACTACTACTACTACTACTACTACTACTACTACTACTGCTACTACTACTACTACTACTACTACTACTACTACTACTACTACTACTACTACTACTATTAGTACTACTAGTACTACTACTACTACTACTCCGACTCCTACTCCTACTCCTACTCCTATGACTGCTGTAGTAGTACCGTAAGCTACAGCAATAAACACGAAGTGTCCCGCAGAGGATGCGATTTTCTGTGGCTTTGTTTGGCTTTGCGCGCGGCCTCTCGGCTGGCCATGCGAAGGACACTACAGGACCCATGGGGTTACTCAGTACAAGAGACTGTTTAGACGTATGAACACGGAATGTCGTTGGGAGCATATTGGTGCTTTGGGATGATATGCTTAGGCTTCATGAGGCCTTAACAGCGGCTATTAGAGGACCCCAAAGGCTCTATAAAGGCTTAACAAGGCTTTGTCGACAAGAATCCAAAGCACCAAAATTAAAGAACTTGAGGGGCTCGATCTCCTCATTTTGAAAAGGTTCTGGTGTGTCGTTTTCCTTCCATGCATGGCATCAAGACACTGCTCGATTTCGCAAGAAAGCTGTAGCTCAGTGGGCAAGCGCATAGTCAGTCTGCACAAGCCGCGGGCTGAACTCCACCGATTGTCTTTCATGAATCGCCCCAGGAATGCCAAATCTAGCCCCTTGAGCTTCTTTATTCGTGTTTTTTTGGCTCAGAAACAAGCGAATGACATCGAGAAGCGCAAGTTACCAAATTGGCACGGCGAGGTCACGGTACCTAGGATTTCCTATTTTCAATTTGTGCATTTTTTGTTTTGTTGTCGCACGGCTGCCCGAGGGGCTTACTTTCTTAAACCTATGATTTCTGAAGAGTGCTGTCGCTGAAGATCCACAGCTAATATTTTCAGATTGGAAGGACGCGGAAACCAGATGTTTGCATGCTGGGTCATTCGTGCACTTCGACTCAACATCTCTACGATTACCTTCGCCAGGCTTTGCCCGAGAAGAGTTTGGCCATTACCACGGGTCAACACATATTCATACCATTGTTGCGAGTTTCTCCCCGCTGTGGCCACTGCCCGTCCAGAAACACTCTACACTGTCGTTTGACTCGCCCCAGGTTGTTCTCCACAAACTCTCGAGTGGCTCTCTGTGCAAGCCAAGGATTCTGATGGCCTATGTGCAGGTTTTGAGGCACCTCAAAGAGGCAGACGCAGAGGCCACAGGCCTGGGACAGCGACTCGTCACGCATCCCTAGCAAGGGCGATAAGATTCCCCCAAAGGAGCAGTATTCCACTTCTTTCTTTCGCCAGCCATTCCAACCAACAGGTGAAGTACGTTGCACACCAACACAGACGACCGTCGCTTGAGTGCCACTGGCACATTGATGCTAAGCCAATAATGTAGTGACTGTTGCAGTGATGGTCGTGACACTAGCAGCAGCAACAGCAAGGACACCATTTGCACTGGGTGTAACCCTTCATGTCGCAGTATCAGTCTGGGGCTGCGGAGCATACGCAACGCATACCTCAAGGGTTGTGCGAATTTCCAGGCTCTGGGCCGGTTTCTTATGACATAGCAGGCTACATGTTGTAGGTTTGCTTGTTTGGAAGTGGGGGGATTCAAGCAAGGCGCGCGTCGGCGGCAGCAGAGGCTGTGAGGCGCGCGCAGCGGGCCATGCGCAAAGAGACCTGGGGCCTCGCGCTCGCCTTTGCCAGCACCTTTGGCGCCTACTGCCTCGCCCGCATCTGGGTCATTCTTTGTCAAGGTGTTGTGTTTCTTGGACTGGATGTTGCGGAACAAAGAAGCAGGGATAAAAGGAGCATGCCTTTAAGAAGTCGGTGCAGGGGTGCTGATCAACTTCAACCGTTTCGGTGAGCTGCCCTACATTCTCATGGTGGTGCTGCTGGGCAACACCTTGGGCTCTTGGTTTCTGTCCAACGCCCACAAGCTGCCAAGAGGAGCCAGAGCAGAGGTGAAGCCGAGCAAGTCGAAGCTCAGCCTGTGGTGATAATAATAGCAATAACAGGAATAGTAATACTAAGAACGAGAATAATGACAACTAGTGATCATTGTTGATTATAACAGAAGTGAAATTATTGAAGTAAAAGACAAAGGTAAGAAACTAGTAATAACCAGAAGAAGAAGAATACTAATAGTAATAGTATTACTTGTGGTAATACTAGTACTACTAACGGACATCTAAAGAATGAAGAATAATACTATCCATATGAACAACAACATTAACAACTAATGCACTAATACGGTTAATAGCAACAGAAGAATAGATGAATAGGAAAGTTTTATTAATAGTGACATGAGCAATAATCATAAGAACAAGAATGAGGTTAAGAATAAGAGTAAGAGAACCGAAAATGATAATAGTCGTAAGAGTAACAAACACAACAATGATAACACCAAGGTTGCAGTATTGAGCAGAATAGGATTAAGACGAGGAAGGCTAATAGACATACTACGAAGTACAAGAGCAATAATCATGGTATGATTTTTTTATACCGGTAGTATCATTTTTTCGGGCTCTTCTAGGACAGCATGGGTTTGCAGAGTTTGGGCGTTCCTGAGCAGCTCAGGAAACTGCCAACTCGCAAGGCTGTCAAGAGATCGCGAACGGTGCCCCAGAAGTCGGATGACGTGGATGCGTGGCACCAGAAGGTCAAGGAGCTCTCGGCGACTCGGGGGCGTATAAGAAGAGTGGTCCTTTTGCAAACCTCTGCTTGATCCCCTAGCCACTAAACCCGGCACGTTTTGCAAAGATCGGAGACGCCTGTCTTTTAGAAGCAAAGCAGAACAGACAAGGTGAGGGGCATCACTGCGCAGGCTGGACTTCAAAACTTCCCAAGTCGTAAAGCATCCAAACGTCGCAGTAGCTGAATACCGAGCACAAGCGCAGCCAAGTCGCCAAGATTCTAAGTCTAAAAATTCCCAGATGCTTACACTTATCGTGTCGACTCCATACAGTTGGGACGACGGATGACCGGTGCTAGGATTCCCTATACACTAGGTCAACGGCATGGGGAAAATGATGTTCCAGCTGTTTTGTTCTCTACTTGGAGGTTCATGGGTAGTTATAAGTGGGGTTATAAGTATGGTAACTACCATTTTAACCCATATCAGGGGACTTTTAACTTCACTTATAGCTGCCCATGAACCTCCAAGTACTGTATCCGAATCCCTTTGGCCCAACTCACAAGCCCGAAGCCCTTGATCCCGAATCGGCAGGCCTTGCTCCAATTCTACCAAGATCTTGGGCGCACCATGCCACACTACAGGCCCAAGGGGGCCGGGGTTAGGGTTTAAGGATCTACGCAAACTGTAAGTTTCCTCGGTCGCTTATTTGTGAATGAGTCCAGGCTTCGAGGTTGGGTGAAGGTCTGGGGTCCGGGTTTCGGGCCGTGACCAGGGATGAGGCAAGTGGCAATGCGGCAAGAAGTCAGACGATCCCTGCACCCAAAATCCTAAACCCAAACCCTAAGCCCTAAACCCTAGCAAGCTCCTAAGCCTCTGAACCCCTAACCCTAAACCCTAAACCATTATGTCTTTATTTTTTTAAAGTGATTCTTACGCGGGAGAGCCGACACTCACACCAGGGAGTCGAGATAGAGTCCCAGAGCCTTGGGGGTTCCTTCTTGTGGAGATAGGGTTTTGCGTTTGTTTTTTTAGGGGTTTAGGGTTCAGGGTCGTATGGTTTTGATCAGGGACCGTACGGAAATGAGACTGGTAATTATTTAGGCTCCTGCCGTGGTGTCCTCCTGTAATCTAGGTCCTGCGATTTTGATCCCTAGAGACGAGGGTGCTGATCTTGGATTAGAAGCCGGTTCCTAGAAACAGCACCCTCTGTGCCAGAGCTTCTTTTGTAGCTCTTCCTTTCGTTCCTCTTCCTTGTCAACTACGGTTTAGGGTTTAGGGTTACCCTTGTGGTGTCAAGAGTTGCATCAGAAATTGAAATCAGATGGTTTTCCCTAAGGCACCTGCACCGTCTTTCAATTTGAGCTTTAGCTTCGGAGCTTTGAATCCCAGTGAAGCTTCTGACGAAGTCGGTTCAACATAATCTAGCTTGCATGTTTCGATGCTGCTGGAAACTAGAACCCTTATGAAGGCCCTAATGCGCAACGTGTATTTCCAAGGGTAAAAGGAGGGACCCTTAATAAGGACCCCTAGGTATATACCCTTAATATAGCTATTATATACCCATTATATAGCCCATTATCTAGCCCATTATAGGGTAGGCGTCCCCATTAAGGGTCCCTCCTTTTGCTAGCTTGAAGAGCTTCGGCCGCAACCTTGAAATAGCCTCGATCCCTTCGCCAACACCATTGCCCACCCCTAAATCCAAAATCTGAAGGGTCTGGGGCTCACATTAACCCCCCCCAAAGAGCCAACCCTTCTGAGGACTCATATAAGGCCTAAACCCTAAACCCTAAACCCTAAACCCTAAACCCCAAAACCCTAAACCAGCAGGTTTTATAGCGTGAAGCTTTGGACTTCAGTGTTTGGGATCTCTGCAAGGCCTCAGGTCCATACGACCCTGGATGTGGTTCGGCAAGCCATCATTCCGGCGACCCAGGCTCTGAAAAAAGGGGGGAAGGTTTTAAAGGAGCTGAAGAAATCTGCTATAATAATATTCATTACTGTTGTTACTGTTATCATCATCATGAACACTGTTGTTGTTGTTGCTGTTGCTGTTGTTATTATTGTCGTCATTATTGCTTCTAGTAGTATTATTGCTATTACTATTCCCACTCCCATTCCCATTACCATTACTAAGACTTTTACTGTTATGGTTGCGGTTATTGTTGCTGTATTTGTAATTGTAAGTGTTATTGCAATTGGTATTCTTCTTCGTCTTCTGCTTTTTCAGTTTTTGTTGTTAGCATATTTAATAGTAGTAATCATACCCACGCTAATACTATGAAGAGAATGATGGTGAATACAAAAAGAAAAATCAGTTGCAATACTAAGAACAATAGTAATACCAAGTTTAATAGCAATAGTAATACCAATAACAATAACAACAATGACAATAGCAATGAAAACCGCGATAACCAATTACAATGCACATAATAAAATCGTGCTTTAGCAGTATTTTTTGTAGTTTTGAGTATAGTTACAGCAATACTAACAATAATGATACTAATAATAACAAGGAAAGTTACGAATTACTGTTATTCTTGTTTCTATTTTTATTATGTGGGTTCTGAGTCTGATTACTGCTACCGATGCTACTTGTAGAAGTGTAGCTTTGGGGTGTTCACCAGGAAGGTGAGAACCTCGGAAGAATTGGAGCTATGGGGTCGTACCACTGCCATCCACCCGGTGCCGACAAGGTCTATCCTTTCTCCCTTCTCCCGCAAGGGGGCAGTTTCCCTTTACTAGTGGCCATTCTTAATTCCTGAATGCTTTCAAAGCATCCATATAGAACCCCAAACCCAAACTCACAAACCCTTCGGACACTAAACCCTTTTACTTAAGCCCACTTAGCCCGCCAATAAAACCCAAAACCTCCAATGCCGAGCACATCCCCTTATGTAACCTTTGCAGAAACCCTCATAGTAGTACCCCTTATAGTAACCTTGAAGGTAACCTTGCAGGCTTGAGGCAAGACTGAAAACCTGTGCAGGGGCAGCCCTTCGAATGCCTGAGCTGAGCCCGAAGCACTGCAAAGCAGACGAAGCGTTGCTATAAGTGGTACCATAACAAAACAGGTACGGAGCTGTGCATTTTCGTGCATCGTCAGTGAGCCTCGGTTTCCCGACAAAATGGTGACACACTCCTGGCAAAACCTGTTCCGCGACTTGGTGGCTGCCGTGACGCTTGGCCTCACTGGGGATGCAGAATGCACTTGTGCTCATTAAAGCTTCAATGTTGTTCCTCGGGGTTTGGCGTCAGCGATTTTTCGGCAAGCACAGATTTTGCGAAACCTTGCTTGTCGGATTCCCTCATGCGCTATATGTACGGCAGCAGCTTAGGATCGCTGATGCCGTTGGCGAGAACAGCTTCGAAATGGTGGCAAATCTGCTGGAGCACGATGCATACATCTTGGGGAGGTTGATGAAACTCGGACCTCAAGAAGCGCTCTTTGCACAAGAGTCTTTGCATAGTGTGGAACCCCTCCAAACAGTCACCGCATCTGCCAAGGAAGCAGCGGCACACTGCTAATCGGGTGTATTGGATCTGTGCCTTCGCGGTGAACCAGCATTCAGCCATCTGCGAGAACCACGATGGCGATTGTGATTCCTTGACTGGACAGGCACGCGGTCGCAAAACTATCCTCCATTTTGAGGACTCGAAGCCTCATGTTTTCATGTTCAAAGTTTAGAAAACTGTGCCCTACAGCAAACTTGTGCCTGGTTCTTCCGCGATGTGCTGCCTAGCATATCCTACCAAAACTCTTGCATACTTGTGATAGTTGATCATTGGTACTGCAGTTCGCGAGGATTGTTGCCGGGTGAGGGCTGAGCCGCAATTCCGGCAAAACTCTTCATCCTAGGCCCTAGCCCCCAGATCCGTTCAGTACCCCTCAGAGTAACCCCTATAACGTCCCTTCCCATAACCTAAACCCTAAACCCTAAACCCTAATCCAAGAGAACTCATTTGGAGGTCCATCCTCGCTGCCGCTGCAGCCATCCGAAGATCTTCAGCAACACGCCGCCGCTCTTGCAGGCCATCCCCACCGGTGCTGTCACCTTTTCTAGGAGTTTCGGCTTCCTGGTACCCACCCTAAACCCTAAACCCTGCACCCTGAATCCCCTCCCCAGAGCCTGCTACTCGTCGCATCGCGAAGACCAACAGAAACTCAATTGCCAAGTTGTCGGTCCCTAAACAACTCCGAGGACCTTGTGCCAGAAGGCCTGAATCCTTCCGACCTATGTCCCCTATCCTCCCTGGAGCTCGGATCGGCACCCCGGAAGTAAACGCAGGTGAACAATCAGAGCATCTACTGCGAGATGCACCTCGCATATTCATGGAGCCTGATGTTGGGGATCTAGTTTTTTCGCTCCAGCAATTGAATTCGGCTTGGTGAAGAGAATATGTTTTCTGCCTCTTTTTTTGCGAGCACCAACACCACATTGCAAGGGTTCATGTCAACCCCAGGAACAAGTTTGACGACATGATGGCCATGGTGGCAGCAACCGGGCCCCAGTATACAGTAGGGACGTGGGACCTGTCAAGCTTTCTCGGGCATCTTCGTAAGATGGGTCAGCATTTGGCAGCCACAAGGGTCTTGTCATGTCGGGTGGGGCAGGTATGCCTGGGGTGTAGGGCGCATTTTAGGGTTTAGGGTTTAGGTTTGGGGTTTAGGGTTGAAGGTTCAGGGCCTAGGTTGATCAGAGGCATGTGCTGACGTCTCTGTTGGAGCAGCCCAGGCAAACAAGCCGAGTTTCTCGCAGGTGGTTGCTGTGGACTCAAGGTGCGGATGTCGGAAAGCCGTGGCCCCCGTAATGCACCCCAAGTAGCAGGAGTCGGGAGTTTTGAAGATACATATCCCAAAATCAAACAGTTCGGGACATCCTCAGGTTCATTCTCTTCCGCAGGGCATGGTGTGTTGCAGAAATCGTCGAGGCAGATTCAGCTGGCCTGAAGCAGCACGTACAGGTTCATTCCAGGAAAGTCTTGAAAGACAATGAGGAGAGTCTGCGTACGCTGAAGGTGGAGGACATGACGGCTTCCAATGCAGAAGATGTAGACTTTATCCTGAACAGGATCAGCGACAAGCGCGTATTCAACAAGAGGCTCCAACAGCTGATTTTTGATGATCATGGGCTTTTGAGCAACTGGCACCAGTTGGACACCCTTCATCAGATGCACGAGATTGGAAACCTTCTGAAGTGGATGATGGCTGACGGCGGACTGGGCCTTATTTGGAAATACTGGGTGACTTAGGGGTGACGCTCTGGCATCCCTTAGCGGCCGGACAGAACCGGGGTGTCTCAGAGGGGGCATGTCTCGGGCTGCTATCTGAGTTTCAAACCCGATTAGGAACAGTATGTTAGGCACGCTTACACGGCTGAGCTGCTGCAGTGCACACCCCAAAACCCTGCTCGGAAAAGCTACATGACCGCTCAAGGCCGATTTGAGGCATGCCCCGAAAAAGGAAGGCCCACCCAGGGCCATCCTTCTCGCTGAGAACCCTAGCCTTTGAAGGAAGAAGCTCCCCCAAAATCTGAGAACGAGAGCCTATAAACGCCGCTGTTGAGCACTGGAGGGTGGCATGTTGAACCGGCACATTGAGCCCGTCCTCCTAATCTGGGCCAGGATGTGGGGTACTGTGGAGTATACCTGCTTCTGCTTCGCGTACTTTAGGTAAGATAGAAGCAGCGGCGCCGCAGGCGAGACCAGATACAGGAGACAGTCTCAGAGGCCATTTGGGTGATTGCCAATATTAGGTCCCTTTAGGGTCCTTATTATAATACGGCACCTAATATCTAGGCTACCCAAAAACGGACCATCATTTTGACAATCACTCATCTGTTTAGTAGAGACTTGGAGCCCGAGCTTGTCACAACTGAACGAGTTTGGGACAGAAGGCCAGTCAGACCCTGGATCTTTTTGAATGCTGCCAGCCCTGTCTAAAGACGTGGGAGAATTCGCCTGCATCCCCCCTGAACCCTAACCCTGACACCTTAAACCCCAATCCTAAAACCCTAAAACCGTAAAAAACCTAAACCTAAAACCCTAAACCCTAAAATCCTAAACCCAAAACCCTAAAACCAAAAATCCTAAACCCTAGAGCCCGAAACCTCCGCACAGTGGCCTGGACTTTCAGCCTCGCGCGGGAGTCTGCAGCTCCACCTGCCCGGGGCCCCCGCAAGACCAGATTTTCGAATCCCTAAGCGCCAAGCTCCAAACCTAAGCCCTAAACAAAGCTCTAAGCCCTCAACCCCAAACTCGAAGCACCTAAGCCCTAACCCCTGAACTCGAAACACCCATGCCCAACACCCTGAACTCGAAACACCCATGCCCAAAACCCTGAACTCGAAACACCCAAGCCCAAAGCCCTGACCTCGAAACACCCAGGCCCAAAACCCTGAACTCCAAACACCCAGGCCCAAAACCCTAAACTCGAAACAGCCAGGCCCAAAACCCTAAACTTGAAACCCTAAGCCCTGAAACTTACGAAAGGGCCCTGGGATTGTGGAGCATTCCCCCAAAAAAGGCGACGTAGGAGCCCCCAGGCCGCCCTTTCGCCCTTGAGTACTTCGGCAGTTTCCAGAGATCCCTCCCAATATCTGCACTCCAAAATGTGGGGCTAAGGTCTTAGGATTTCTAAACATGGGGTTAAGGTCTTAGGATTTCTAAACATGGGGTTACATAAGGTCTTAGGGTTTCAAGGCGGATCTCATTCTGTTGGAGACTTCCGCTTCTGCGCATGGTCTGCGGCACCCACCGCTCGCAAGGGCAGCATTGTCCAGTGTCCAGGTGCTGTATAGGCAGGTTCCAAAGTTCCCGAATACGGGGTTCTAATCTAGGGGCTTAATAGTTACCTAGGTTTTTTTTAGGGGGTTCCTTAGAATAATTATAGTATACTGGGCCCCCAAGACCCTAGTCTAATTATTAAGGCCCCTATAGTATGGCATGTATCCGCGGCTCAAATGGGGATACACAGGAAGGATCGATATCCTCTTCGAATGTAGGGGTGCCATGTTTTGGGAACTTGGGAACCTAGCCAGGCGGTGATGGTAGAGTGTCGTTGAGGCTTGCATGGAAGCCAAGGACATTTAAGTGACAGCGAGAAATGCGATGTCTCTAGGAGGCTCGTGGTGGTGTTTGTCAAGATCTGGTGGTTCCGGTTGCTGTAAGAGCTCTTGGTGAGAATCGCACCCTTGTCCTGTGGAGATGTTGGTTGACAGGAACAGCAAGAAGACGTGATGGCCCTAAGCCCTAAACCCTAAACCCTAAACCCTAAACGGCGTAGACAGGTCACTCTACTGATCGAAGGCCCTTCGCCACACGACGGCATGGTTGACGATCCCAACGCAACCCTGGACTTCCACAGCCCTTTGATCCCCGCAGCCCTCCGGTGCCGTCATGAAAGTTGGACGCCTTATGTAGTAGGTATCGTTACGTAAGAATATATATATATATATATACACAGATAGATAGGTAGATAGATAAGAAGATAGAGAGAGTAAGACATAACAACATGTAACATCCTATAGAAGTAGTACCGACGCCTTCGTCTTTCCTGGCTCCAGGGGCCGAAGTCGCGCAGGGCTCGAGGGCCGAACTGCGCCGCCATGGCCGCCGAAAGCGAGTCCTCAACGACGCCTCCGGTCCTGCAGGAGGCCACAAGACAACAGATGGGTGGTTGTCAAGAATAGGATCCCTTGTTGGGGTCCCAATTATAATACGGCACCTAATATTTAGGATACCCAAAGAGGGACCATATTTTTGACAACCACCCATATACTATGACAAATGATCGCAGACCATCTGACACATGATATGGTTTACTATGGATGGTCTATGATCACACACGACGACATATCACAATATATACTAGTCATTGGGTTTTGTTGTGTGCGCAAGCAAGGTGCGGATGCCTGTAGTGCTGGGTCGTCTTGGCGACCGCTTTTGCTCGGCCATCCCTGGAGGGGCCCTAAACCCTAAACCTCAACCCCAAAACCGTAAACCCTAAACCCTGAACCCTAAACCCTGAATCCTAAACCCTAAACCCTAAAGCCTGGAGGGGCTACATGATCGCGCTCCGAGCCGGGACTTGGCAGAGGAGGAGGAGGTGAGGTCACCCAGACCTGCGACAACCTATTGTGGATGTTCAAAGGTCTAATCAGGCTTTAAGGGTTTAGTCAGGCTTTAGGGGTTTAGGGGTTTGGGGTTTAGGGTTTGGGGTTTAGGGTTTAAGGGTTTGGGGTTTAGGGTTTGGGGTTTAGGGTTTGGGGTTTAGGGTTTAGGGTTTGGGGTTTAGGGTTTGGGGTTTGGGGTTTAGGGGTTTAGGGGTTTAGGGGTTTGGGGTTTAGGGGTTGGGGTTTGGGGTTTGGGGTTTGGGGTTTGGGGTTTAGGGTTTGGGGGTTTAGGGGTTTAGGGTTTAGGGTTTGGGGTTTGGGGTTTAGGGGTTAGGGGTTTAGGGTTTGGGGGTTGGGGTTTGGGGTTTGGGGTTTAGGGTTTGGGGTTTAGGGTTTGGGGGTTGGGGTTTAGGGTTTGGGGTTTAGGGTTTGGGGGTTGGGGGTTGGGGTTTAGGGGTTTCGGGTTTAGGGGTTGGGGTTTAGGGGTTTAGGGAGGTCCAAGCCTACGACCAATGGTCTCTAGGGAAGTTGAAGGTTCGCAGGGCCAAGGCCCACTGTAGTTTCGGACATAGTCTCGAAATGCGGGGCATTTTTTTTGTTCAAAGGGGAAAAGGAGGGACCCTTAATGGGGACCCCTACCCTATAATGGGCTATATAATGGGTATATAATAATTTGTGGACCCGTAGGTGGTTGAGCCAACAAAGGCATGGATATCTTTTCATGCCCCAGCCCGGTGGCATGTCCCCGTATGGTTTTGCAGCATCTGCAAGTTGCAGTGCAGTATCCTGATGCAACATTGTCAATCCGAAAGGGTTACACCTGGCTGCATTACTGCAGTTGGAAGAGTTCTCCAAGTTCGATCCAGCAGTGCAAGCCGTAGCGCCGAATTTAGAGACACACCACGGTTCTGTTGTTCTGACAACCTGTTGTGGGTATGATTCAACGAACCGCAGGAGCCATACCACAATGCACTTACGATGCACCCCATGCCAAAACAGCGAAACAACACGGTCTGACCGTGAGACAAGCCTTTACAGTAAAAGCCAGAAAGTTGGAATATGATTATCCTAAACCCTTTATGGTAAATTATGAGGTATCCTACCCTGAAACCATATTCCAACTTTCTGGAGTTCCCTGTAAGCGTGTATGCGTGTGAGTGTGCCGGCTTCCAGCTTTGCGTTTTGGGCTGTTGTAGCGAAGGCCAGAACACACGGAAACGGCACCTCGATCACTCCCGGCAATGCGATCTGAGGGTTTGCCTACCAAGGAAGGGTTCCTCTTGGCTTCACCTTTCCTCACCAAAAAAAGCCGAGAACTATCCCGTTCTGATTATTCCTGGTAAACAACACATGGGAGTTTCCGAAAATTAGGGGTACCTTATTTGGGGTTCCTTACAATAAGGATCCTACTGTACTATATTCGGGTCCCCTATTTTCGGAAACCCCCAAATCGACTTTGGGAGGGTGAGGCTTTTCGAAGGATTGGAGGGCAGGGGCTCACAGCGTCGTTCTAGCTCAACTGTCCCTCTACCCCAAGCCTTCAAGCATTCGTCCTGGGCGTCTGCAAACTTTGGAGACATCTCTAAGCCTACGCCCCAGGGAGTGAGGTTATCCTATGCCAGTTAAAGATGAAACCCTAAACATGCATCCCCAGACCGTAATCAGATGAGAACAGCTTCTTTCTGCAGGTTGCACTTGACCGTTCGTGGACCCGTGTAGAGCGGCCCACTGCAGGCCGTGCTGCATCTGTTTCTTGCACAGACAGGTTCAAGAGCGCCGAGTTTGAGAGAGAGAGAGAGAGAGGAAGTGGTTTTCAGTGATCTTCATAGTGTCTGCAGGCCTATTGCATGATGATGCTGTGTTCCAAATCTCCGAAGCCGAAGTCCATAATGAAGTCTCAAGATACAGCTGCTCTTGGAGATTAGCTCGAACCTTAAGCCCAGAGCATCTCATGCACCGGAGCCCGACGTTTGCAAACAATGCGCAGGTGAGGTCCCGGAGCCTGAAGTTGAGGCCACAGGCACTTCTGCTGCTCGGGGTCAAGGGAGGATTTTTTTTGGGTTCTGGCTGAAGTCAAGGTTGACGCAGCAGGTCTTTCGAGGGGCGGTTAGGTTTGCCGTTCTGGAGCTCTCGCAGGGTTCTTGCCGGATGCAAAATAGGTTACGCAGCATCAGGACCAACGAGCCTGATTCTCGTGTCATTTGAATGATGTACACCACCGTGCCACCAGCATCGCTTGCAAGCCTGCTGCATCTTGACACTGAATAGTTTACAGATCCTTGCATCCCTGCCCTGCACCCGTAGTCTGTGCATATGTACACCGTTACAAACAGTGCATATGCATGCATCTATATGTAAAGCACCGTGCAAATATGCATCAATGCATGTTCACTTGAACACACGGGTGACTGGGTCAACGAACGACATGTCTGAGACAAGGTGAAGCGACATGAAATGAAACGAATGAAGGAAGGCACGAGGTAAGGAACGGACTCGCGAAGCAACCGACGAACAATACAGTACATGACACAGGGAATGCATGCATGCATGAAAGTGTTTATGCACGAAAGTAATCATGCATTTAATGTACTTGTACCCATAAGTAAAGTAGTAGAAGCAAAGCATGTGAACAAATGTAAATGCATACGGGCAAGTGCAGATGAGGGCCGTTGCAAGACTCCAAGATAGCAGTGAAAAAACAAACATGCTCCGAGCAAAGAAGCAGGGAAACGATTCATTCTTCTCCTCCTGGTGCTACGGGTCCTCTTTCCTTGTCCTCTCCCCAGAAAGCCCAATACCCCTTAATTAAGGAATATGGCTTAAATCATATAGGGCTTCATATTATGATTTAAGCTATATTGCTTAATTAAGGGGTATTGGGCTCTCTGGGTCGTTCTCCGAAGACTCTAAGATCACCTCTAAGTCAGAAACACTCGGATTCCGGGTTTCTCGCAGTCCTGGATTCCGCCTGGGAGGTTATGGATCGTTGCGAGCACGCTTCAGCTTCCGCTTCAGGCATGCCGTGACGTTCAATTAGTAAATTGAAAGTCCCTAAACCCGAAACCCTAAACCGCTAAGCCTTAAACCCCAAACACTAAGCCCTAAACCTTTGCACCCAAATCCCGAAACCTTGCCTGCAAGCAATGTTCAGCGATTGAGGTTTAGGGTTGGACATCCGACACTAAACCGAAGCAGCGTGGTTCGGAGTTGCAGAAAATGCTGGTCCTATAGGGCCGAGGGGCTGTGAAAGGACCCCCCTAATGCTCGAAATGCTGTGCTCATCATTCTCAAAGTCATAATAACCCAAAGCCCTAAACGCTAAACCCCTGAACTCTAAACCCTTAAACCCTATAAGCCCTAAACCCCTAAACCCTAAATCCCCAAATAAACACCCCTAAACCCCGAACGCCAAACCCCCCAAACCCCTAAACCCGGTAAACCCCAAAAGAGGTCCTTTCGGCGCCTGGCTAGCCTGCATGAGCCGCGACCTCCGGCTGGCACAGCGGATGAGAAAGAAGCGAGCGCCGAGGCAGGCCTGCTTAGGGTTTAGGGGTTTATGGGTTTAGGGTTTAGGGTTTCGGGGTTTTAGGGGTTTAGGGTTTAGGGGTTTAAGGGTTTAGGGGTTTAGGGGTTTAGGGTTTAAAGTTTAGGGTTCTTGGGATGAGGATTATTCGATTTAGGGTCTATGGTTTAGGCTTATGTTGTTTAAGAGACTGAGGATAACTCTTGTTAGTTTTGTGTGAAGCGACTGGGAATTAATGATATTAGTAGGAGTTCTGTTCACTGTTGTTACCGGTGTTGCCGTTGTATTGTCACTTCCATCTCGTTGATGCTTATGGTACTCATAGTACATCACTTCTTGCGGTTTGGTTGGCATTGCTAGCGTTGCTGCTATTGATGTCATTATCCTAACTGCAGTTTCTAGGCTATAGATCGCTGAAGCGGTTACTCGGATTGTTGGTATTAGTTTGTTTAGTACGCAGAATTACGCAGATCATGCAGAGAAAGGACTTCTGAGTCACACTTCAACTTCGCGTTCCCCCGTCCTGCATGTCTCCGCCCGGCGAGGGGCAGGAAGATACGTTCTCGCCGATGAAGCTCCACGGCCGATCTTAGCCGATAGAAGCTTATTGTTATGGCATTGGGGTTCTTTGTGTATGATGACGATGATGTTGCACCAATCGTTTTTAAGATTATTCTGGTATGGAAATGGGAGAACCTTGACCATTGTTGGTTTTACAAGCATTCTGCTTCGCTTCGGACCTTGGCATTAGAGGGCTTCAGGTTTGGGGGTTTGGGGCTCAGGCGGCTTAGGCGCTTAGGCTTTGGCTTGAGTTGCACCCGGGCTTCCTTAGCGCACGAATCCTACATCGAACGCGCTTTAACTCGTGGCAGCCGCATAGATGTGGGAAGCACCCGTGACATCAGGCTAAGCATCCGTCCATGCAGCCGCTACAGTCTAGGCTTCTTCTGTATTCCCTCTGCTTCCTCGCCGGCGCGACCGTTCCTGTGCTGCTGGTGAACATCGTGAAGGTTCTTTTCCGAACGGTCTTGCGCCTCGCCTTGTTTAAGGCTTGTGGTTTAGGGCATCGCAAAGGGTCGTTGGCACAAAGTTTTGCGTCTCTCCAGGCTGGTAGACATTCGCCATTCAGGTTCAAGACTTATGAGCGTTGTCAGAATTGATTGTGGTGGATTGTGCTGGCATTTCGTGGTATCCTGCCTGCTGAGGCCCGGGCTCCCCCATCGCTCCGTCGCAACACCGAATTTACGGAAGAAAACCACTAGACCAAAGGTGGTAGGATAGCCCTACGTAGCCCTGCAATGCCGAAAGGCAGTGTACAACGGAGGTGCTGCTTAGACAGCCAAGTGCAGTTGGTTGAGGGGTGCCTACTACCAGTTGCTACAACTACTACTCCTCCTGCTGTTACAACAACAACAACACCAACTACTACTACTACTACTACTACTACTACTACTACTTCTACTACTACTGCTACTACTACTACTACTACTACTACTTCTACTCCTGCCTCTACTACCACTACCACTACTGATATTACTGCTACTAATGCTACTCCGACTCCTACTGGCACTGCCAAAAGTACTGCTACAACTTGTACTACGCCCATTGGTCGGACAAAGCATGTCCAAAGTCACACTATGCAGAGTCTCTCAACCCTCGGCCATCCCACGTTGCGAGATAAGGTCAGAAACTCATCATATTCAAACGGTCCCAGGTACTGTTGTGGGGGGATATTTCCCCAAATCATAATAGTAATCCCGCACCCGAAGAGAATGAAGATGATTATCGTCTGGACAGGGAGGTGGGTGGATGGGCAGCCTGCGCCATTACTGCCATGGTTGCGCTGATGCTGCCCCCGGCGCCGAAGAGGACCCGGACACAGTCCAGACTTCAGACGTTTCATGGCCTTGCTAGACCCGAGAAATGCTGCCAACCCTTAAGCTTCAATGCGCAGCCCTCGATCCCATATGGGTGGTTGTCAAAATTATGGTCCCTTTTTGGGTCCCTGTTATATTACGGCACCTACTATTTGAGGCGCCCAAAAAGGGACTTTAATTTTGACAACTACCCATATGTGTATCTTGCAGATGTGGAGCCCATTGGTGGCTCCAGAGTCGACGAAGCCTCTAAACCTAAAGCCCCTAAATACGCAAAGGATTTCAACACAACAAAAACAGAAGCTCTAAACCCCCAAACCCCAAATCCTAAACTTTAAAGCCCTAATCGGTTTCGAATCCCTAAACCCTAAACCCTTTAGGATCTAGGGCCGGGTCAGGGTCTCTGAAACGTGGTGCTGAGTATAGGGGGGGGGTCCTGTATGTGCTTCGCAGGGAATGGGGGAAGGGATCCCTATATGGGGTTTAGGGTTTAGGGTTTTAGGGTTTAGGGGTTAGGGTTATAGGCATCGGATGTGAACCATAGCGTACTTTGCTGCCGCGTGTATGGGCATTTTCGGACCGGCACGTGCCAACCAGATTTTGGCTTCTTCTGCGAGTGAAACTCGCAGCTACTGTCAGCATTTAGCAAAGACAGTTGGCTGCCTCGATTACTCGGAGAACATCACTGACACTATGTCCCTGTGCCATTAGGAGGCAGAACGCTAGTTGGCATGTGCCGTCGACAAACCTCCCGAAGATTGAGCCTGAAGGAGCCATAAAGCGCCCAATCGTACACCCTCGGAGGACACCGATGAAGCTGGCTTACCCTTTGGCCACTTGACATTTCAGAGTTGCCGATAAGTACAAGTTTTTCAATCTAGCAGAACTTGCAAATGAACGAGTCGAGTTCTACCAGGAACATCCCTGCAACACGTACGATTGCAGCCATGCACATATGTAGATACTTGCCTACGTACCTGTGCATGCGAGCAATACGCACGTACATACACATACTTTCACATACAACTACGATACGCCCATGCAAAGATATGGAACGCATGTGTGTGTATGTCTGTCTGTGCGTGTACATATCTACATACGCACACATATAATTGTACGCATCTACATATCAACATATATCAAAAAAAATATATATATATATATATATCTGTATTTAGATATGTGTGTAATATATATATATATATATTTATTTATAGAGGAATGGCTGTAAGATATGTCTCTCTGCCCAGCCCACAGCCGCGGGATTCTGAAAGAGTGGGGAGCAAGGCTCCAGGTGCTAAGGCCAGTTTGAAGGTTTCGCTCTAAACCCTGAACCCGAAACCCTTATATACCTCCCAAAACCCAAAACCCTAACCCGTCAAATCTCAGACCCTTAAATCCTACAGCTTTTCAGGTTCTTTAGAAGTTTTGGACTTTTCTTTCGATTCGGAGGCGGCCGGCTTTGGGTGGTTTGCAGCCTTTTTCGTCAGCATCACGCCGCACATATGGAGTGCTATCGTGGTTCCATGTGGTCTGGCCTACGCCTACTTTGTGCATGCAGAGGAGGAGTCTGTCTCCTGGTGGTGGACCCGCCCCTGGGCCCTAAGCTACAGTAGTAGTAGAACGAGGAAGACAGTAAAGTTGGGGGCAGCGGGAAAGGTGGCGTTTGTGAGGAGTAGTCGGGGTCGCGCTGGCCAACGTTCAAGCCTGTCGTATTGAGGTGAAGATGCAGTCCGTATCCTGAGTGTCCTCGAGAACGTGACGGAGTTTAATGTTGTGCGTGCGGCTGTCGGCAGCACTGCCAAAGTCTTGATGGGTGGCTTCGCGCAGATGTGGATGGCTTCGAAGGCCTCTACGGTGGAGGGTTTTCAGCCACCGAGAGTCCGAAAGTAAACACGCTTCTGGCCCAAGCTGTACGGCCTCCACAGCGAAGTCGGAGACTGTGCAGCCATCTTTCACTAATCTCGCGAGCCGCAAGCGGTACTCAGTCGTGTTTGTCACCTGGCTTTTGCAGCCACCAGAGTCCTCAAGCATCAGCTCAACGTTGGCCCTTATTAGGTGCCCGTCGTGCGATTCCCCAACTTCTCTCGGAAGGTCTTGAATGTCGTGGGCGAGGTGCTGCGAGGCGGTGCAGCGCGCGGCCTCTGCACCCTCAGTGCACTGTCAGGTGGGACGAGTGCCTGTTTTGTGCGAGGTGGTAGGAGTGGCAATTTGATTGAAACTGCTGACACGTTTTCATACTTCTTCCACCACGAACAACAACGCAAGGTGCAAGCAATGTGCGTCCATGACAATCTTGCAAGGTTGTTTACAACTTCCCACATCCCCGGAGCCAAGACCGCAAGACTTTGAATCGACTCCTTCAGAGCCCTTGCGCAAGGCATGGTCGCAGCTTGCTTCCTGCACACGTGCCTTGGCAGTATTCTTAATATTACAACCCATATAACTATTACCATTATTGTCAATTGTTACTATTACTGCTGCTGCTGCTGGTGGTGGTGTTGTTGTTGTTGTTGGCATTACCACTATTGTATAACTAAGCTTTTCTTATCATGATCCAGTACTATTGCTACCATTGTCAGTGTATTTCGGTTGAGCTTCGGATCATCAGGTTCTCGCTCAGTGGGTGGGGGCTGGGTGGTTGGGAAGTACGGCAGCATGACGAAGGAACCCTGGTAAACCGTAACCCTCACAACAATCCTCATAGGAGCACTGTATGGATTTAAGGGCCATGACTCCCAACAACTTTATTCTAACATTTAGTCCCCAACAACTCTGTTCTGACAATTAAGGCCGCGATTGAACCCCTGTGATGCAACGCTGAGACCTGAGTCTGTGCAGCCCAGGTGGTGGCTCAACACCACCAGCCTGGCTCAGGCCTTCGATCCCCCGACATCCATCGCCCTGATCCTCGTCGGGGCCTCGGAGACGGTGCCTACAGAATCACCTATACCGATTCTTTGGGTTCCTCTTTAATTATGGTATATTTACCTAAAACTCTTATTCTTAATCATTACGGCCGTTCTATTAGGGGTTCTGGAGCTTAGGGACAAGGGATCTTTTCGCTTCCTTGCTCGCGGCCCGCCTTGGAGTGGCTTTGTACCACGTATGATTTACTGTAGATCACAATTATGATAACTTAAGCCTTAAACCCTGAACCCTTACAGGAACCCTTATGGATCCCTTGAAGGAACGCTTACAGATCCCTATTAAGGTAACTTAAGTTAAGTCCCTAACAAGAACCCAGATTATGCATGTCTATCTTGAGGGGTTCCTTATCTTTGTTAGTTATAGTATAAGGGGCCCCCAAAACCTATTCTGATTATTAATGCCCCCAGATCATAGAACCCTACTATAGATCCGTTATAGACCCCTTGAAGGAGTCCGAAAAACTCTTAAGTATTAAGCCCCCTCTACTATCATATTACGGGGGTAGGGGGAGGGGCACAGCCACCCCCCCGAGCCCAGCCCAATCGGCCCAGCCTAGCCCCAGCCCACGTCAGCCGAGAGGAAATCTAGCCCAGCCCAGCCGCCCAACCCCAGACCAACCACCCCCAGCTCAGCCTATCTCCCCCGCCCCACACCCCCCCGCTGCCCGCACCAAACCTGTCAACACTTTCGGTCACACCTTTCGCTCAAAACTTATTGGCATCCCTTGGTCCGCCCAGCCCCCAGCCCCCAGCCCAGCCAGCCCAGCCCAGCCAGCCCAGCCCAGTTCTCAAGCAATCGGGAAACCCTGCCCCAGAGCCCAGCAAAAACTTCCGCCCAACAACCAGCCCAGCCCAGCACCCAATTCCCAAAATCAGGTTCAGTCAGCAAGCCTGCTCAAAACGTTTCGGTCAAAGCTTTCGCTCAAACGTTTCGGTCAAAACGTTTCGGTCAAAACGATATTGGCACCCAAACCCTTACCAATTTCTATAAACCCTAAACCCCAAACCCTAAGGGTCCCTATCATGCTAGGGCTTTCGCTACTTTGAGAGATTCTAGGATGCCGAGTAGTACCCCTAATCCCTTTTTGTAGTCCTAGGCTTCTTATAAAAGTTACCCAATACCAAGAACTGAGCCCTTTTTATTCCCAGGGTTCCTGGGCATCCTAGGTTCTATGAGGGTTCCTTTTAAAGGGTTCCTTTAAGGGTTCAATATAGGGTCCTAGGGTTCCGTTAAGGGTTCCTTTTAAAGGGCATCCTATAGGCTTCGGCCCCAATGGCTGCAAAGCTGACGCTGCTGGGGCTAAGTTCTGGCTGTCACGGTTTGGAGTTTAGGGGTTCAGGGTTTAAGTCGGCTTTAAGCAGGGTAAAAATGTAGGGTGAAGTAAGGTTTGGGGGTAAGGGTTTAGGGGTTTAGGGTTCAGGGGTGTAGGATGGAAGTAGGCTTTAGAGTTTCGAGTTTAAAGGTTTAGGGTTTAGACTTTGTGGGGTTTCAGGGTTTAGAGTTTCGGCTTTAGGATGGGCTCAGAGTTTAAGGTTTAGGGTTTAGGGTTTAGGGTTTGAAGCTCGTTGCTTTGATTCCTTTCCTGCCTGGGCCGAGGGCTTGTTCCACTGGTTGGTGAGCAAGTTCATCGCGAACGGGACCGCTGGGTTTTAAGTGGTTTGGGCTTCGGACCCGGATTCCTGTTTCGAGGAAATGTCTGGATGTAGGCTGATGAGGTGGCTCTTTTTGGATAATGGGGCCTTCCGAAGAACCTCAGCAAGGTGGGCTCCAGGGCTGCATTTGTGAGAGGACGAAGATGGGCAAGACCATCTTGATAGGCCACGTGCTCGCCATGACGGGCCTGTTCATGGACTCCTACTACAAGGACTCTTGTGGATTCAGGGTTAAGATGTAGAGGGTTGTGAAGAATCGTCTTGCTGTCCTCTGGGTATGGGTGGAGAAGTGGAGACGATACCTTGTGAGCCCGTCTGACGTCTGACCCTTCAGTTGCGTGCCGTCTGCCCACAGGACGTTGTTCTGTCAGCCTAAACCCAAAGCAGAAACTGAACCCTAAACCCTAAATCCTGAATCCTAAACCCTAAGCGTGAAACTGAACCCTAAACCCTGAATCCTAAACCCAACTTTAAAAAGAGAGAATCCTAAATACCCTAGACCCTAAACCCTCTTCCCTGCTTTTCAGGGACAGATGTCTGGTGCATCGCTCTTTGCTTCGGTGTGCTTTTTCTCCATCCTGGAGCCTCGGCTCAGATGATGCTGCTCTTCCCTAGCATAGAGGGGTTTAGGGTTTAGGGTTTTAGCATAGAGGGGTGTAGGGTTTAGGGTTTAGAGGGGTTTAGGGTTTTTGGGGCTTTAGCATAGAGGGGTCGGAAGGACTACCAGTAAGAATCTCCCTTCAAAGCCTCTGTCAACTGCAGCATGACATACCCGAAAAAACCTTGTTCCAGGTAGTAATTTCTTCGGCTCAGCTTTCCTAGATATCTAAACATGACTGCCTGTCGCGCCGGCTGTTTCCGCAAAGCTTTACCAGACGCAGCCTGAGTCCTGGAGCTGAAGTGGCATAAAAAAATTAAAATCACCACTGGGCCCTAAACTGCCTGTGGGTCGACGCCCAGGCCGCCTGTAAGACAATGGAGGAGCTTCGAGCGCGGCTCCTTTGCTTCACAAGGAAATTTCCTGCTGCACTTTGAGCGAAAGGCACAGGAGACAGCAGGCACCGCCCCAAATCCTTGAACCCCAAGTACCCCTGAAACCCCTTCAGAGGTTACAGTAAATTACCCTAAAGGCCCATCACCCGCCATTCATCACTCACTGACGGGTCCGAAGATAGGGCCAAGCCGGTTGAGGGGTAGTTTGGGTCTAGGGTTTTTGGGTTTGGGATACTTGAAGGTTTCGGCTAGGGTTCCCGGGGCAGTGATAGCTTTTGGAGTTTCTGGTTTTTGGGTTTGGGTGTAAGGGTGCCGGATTTGGCTGTGACAACAAGAAGACCCAAACCCTAAACTATCCCCTGTGCCGATAGTCTCCTTATCCGGCATGTTCAAAGAACATGCAGCGAGGAGCGAGTTGGAGAAGGGATTTCTGAGTGGGTTATAGGGTTTGGGGTTCAGAATTAGGGTGTAAGTGCCAGAAATCAGGTGCCAATTTCAGCCAAATCTGGCATGGCGCAGACTTAGAGCCTAGAGTTAGGGTTTAGGGCTTAGGGTTTAGACTCAAGCTGTTTTGCCATATGCATCATTAGGGGATATTCATGCAGAACTTTGGCTCGACTATTTTGACGCTGGTCGAGCGGCCTTTGAGGACCCTAAACCCTAAACCCCAAACCCTAAACCCTAAACCCTAAACCGTCCAGCGGATTGCTGCTGGAAATCAGACCCATCGTTTTGCCATGAAGCTCTACTCAACCCTAAACTAGCCCTAAATCCTGAACCCTACAACCCTAAGCCTTGAACCCTAAACCCTACGCCCTAAAACCCTAAAAACCCCAAATCCTAAGCCTTAAACCCTAGACCCTAAACGCTAAAACCTTAAAAACCCCAAATCCTAAGCCTTGAACCCCAAACCTTAAACCCTAAGACCCCAGAAACCTAAACACCTAGGCCTCGAACCCGAACTGTTGCAGAGTGACCCAGGTGGAAGCCAGACTTCTAGCCACGCCAGCGCCCTGGCGAGCATAGTTTCTCCGAAACCCAAAACCCCCAAGCCCGAAACGCCAAACCCTAACTCCTACTATAGGAGCTGGAATAATTACCTATACCCTTTTGGGGTTCCTTATTATGGTTATAGTATTACAATGGGCCCAAAAATCCTGTTCCAAATATTAAGGCCCCCACATTAAGCCCCAAACCCTAATCCCGGAACCCCGAAATCCAGTCTGAGCTGTAAGCAAGGGACCCTTTCAGCCTGTGCAGCCTATTCACAGATTCTTCTCCTTCATGAGTTTGTTTTAGTCTTCTTGTTCATCTTGTTGTTACTTGTTATAAAGTCTTGATTGTTGGTTGTTGGTCATTGTTTATTAATCACTGCTCTCGTTTTAGGTGTCATTACTGTTGTTGCTGGATGTTACTGAAGCCACTACGAGAGAAACGCCCGGCAGCTATCCTCGTCACTTGGCCAAGGAGACCCCGCGACTGGTGATTTCAAGAAATGGGCGTCTCCGTGCGTGGGCTTTCATAATGTCCATACTTGGAGGTTCATGGGTAGTTATAAGTGGGGTTATATGTAGGGTAACTATATTTATAACCCATAGAAGGGGACTTATAACCGCACTTATCACTACCCACGAACCTCCGAGTAGTTGACTATAAATCATAGATCCTCGACGCCTGGAATGTCTCATCACTCTGGGCATATTGGATGAAGTTGCACTCCTCGTGGAAGCTGCGCCTGTGCAGGATGTACATAGCAACCGTGGCCTACTACTGGTGGACTTGCATTTCGGGGAAGCTGCAGTTTAGCTCGTTTGATGGCTTTACGATGTTTGTTGGTAGTTATGCCATCAGGGGCACAACAGACTGACGCCTTTCACGTGGGATTTCGCATGCAAGACTTGCAAGACCATCTGTCAGATGAGCCAGCTGGGAACAAGAGTGTCCCAGAACAAATGGGCATTGCATCGGAGACCAGGAAACCTTTGGACAGGCCCACAACGAGGGACACCACTTTTCATGAGGCACGTCCCGCCAATGCACATAGGACTGAATTGACTCGCCTGCCTAGGGGGAACAGCCTGAGACTGCTTTTAGTTCCACCAGCCTAAACCCTCATACCCTAAACCCTAACCCATGTGGAGCCTTGCCTGCTGCGTGCGAGTGTGAGCGTCGAAACCCTAACCCCTATACGCTACATCCTTCCCACTTTGATTTCACCTGTTCCCCCTTTTGGCCAGCATGTTTTGCCTTGCCGGATGCATGCCACGATGCCGCTTTGCAGACGGGCATCCTGACTTGTGCTCCCGGTGCTTTGCATGTTCACGGTCCCAGCTTGCATGGGCGTGGCTTAGGTCGACTCTCACGTGGGTTCGGGGTTTACGGCTTAAGAGTTTACAGCACATGCGAGAAGGGAGCGTGCACGGCTGGCCTCTTTGCACACAAGTAGTCCCTTGCTACCCCCAGAGACTCCATTATCCCTTGATGAAGGAATATTGCTTAAATTATAGTCGGATCCCTAATATGATTTCAGGAATATTCCTTAATTAAGGGATATTGGAGTCTCTGGGCCCCTCTTCTGTTCAGTCGCTCGTACTGTCATCAGCTTCGCGCTTGGTGGCAGAGTCTTCTGCACTTCTGGAGCTCATCGTGTTGAAACGCGGAGAAGTCGCATGAACGAACAGAAAAAACCTAAAAGTAAAGATTCGCTAGCGGCCCAAGTCTACAGTTTCTGAGCTCCCCATAGTATGCAAAGTGCGTCTGAGCTTGAGACGACCGATTTGGCGCCAAAAGCTTCGAAGTCTAGTGTTGCGGTGAGAACGAAGTATCGGAATTGCGTATTAAGAGTTGTAGGTTTGAAAATTTGAATTTAGGGGTTATGCTTTGGAGACAGACCGAGTATCCTCAACACATCCTCATCTGCGAAAGGACAGCAGCCCCTAAACAGTTCTAGACCTTAATCGCTAAACTCGAAGCCCCAAAATCTAGATGTGCTAAGCTCTATGCTCTACATGCTATAAGCCTTATAGGTTGAAGCCCAAACAGAAACATCTGCATGATGCGCGGGTCTTCGCAGTGCAGCATTGCCGGAAGCGTAGACGCTTCAGAGTTTAGAGCTCCCTCAACCCTAAACCCCTAAACCCCTAAACCCTTTATAAACCCTAAGCCCCAAACCCCAAACCCCAAACCGGGCCTTAGCTTTCAGGATTTTGGGTTTAGGAGGTCAGGGTTCGGAGGGTAAGCCAGAACTGCTTATAGTAACCCTGGCAGTACCGCCCCCTTTAAGACCCCTCCCAGTAGGCCGCATAGGAACCCTGAGAGTAAGCCGCCCTCATAGTAATCCGCGTAGGAAGCCTTGTAGGAACCCTTGGGAACCTTTGTAGGAGCTCTTGTAGGAATCCTGAACCTTTAAGAGAACCTTTGTCGGAACTTGCTTTGTAGGGACTAAACCCTAAACCCTAAACCCTAAACCCTAAACCGACTTGTAAAGGAACCCTCTGTTACAGGGCTATCTTCAGCCCTTCCACTCGCCATGGAAACGCCCTCCTTGGTGCGATGCTTGCTGGCACCGCCGTTGATGCGTCCGGCCCTCAGCAGACGAGCAGAGGTGGTAAGCCTGCGAGCCCGCAAACTCGAAGCCCAAACTCCGCCAAACCCCTAAATCCCAAATTCCAATCCCTGAACCACGAGCCGACAAGGCCCTCGCCTTCAGTCCAAAAACCCTCGGAAACTGCTCTCCCTTTTCCCGTTCAGCTCCTCTGGCGGTCGATGTCCTGGATGCTGATCGGGGGAGGGCTCGGGCTCTTGGGCTACGGTTGATGATATAAATCCTGCAATACCTTAAGGGCCCTAAACTATAGGAATTATGGTATATTCCTTATTATGGGTACTGCAGGATTTCTATCATCAACCGTAGCGCTAGTTCTAGGGCTGGGGCTAGGGCTAGGGCTGGGCACCTTAGAGGTTCTGGTTCGTGTGAGAAGACCCTTAGAGTCGTGTGGCCACGCTACGAGGCCCTTATGTTTGAACCCCGACGCCGATACCCCTAAAGCCGGAAAGCAGAAGCCCTGAGCGCCCTAAGCACCGAAGCTTCGGATCCCTGGAAACCCCTGAGGCCATAAGGACGAAAAGAGTCCTACAGCTCCCAGCCTTGCAGCCCCAAAACGAAGAACACTCGAAGAACTCATAAAGCCTTAGCAAGAATTCATAAATCCCTATACGCCCCTACACAACTCCTCAATGCCTTTCAGAAGTCCTATCATCATCACCTACATTCGGTTTTAAGGCTCCTATATCATAGAACCCTAGTATAGATCCCTCATAGACGCATCCCCAGGGATCCTGGAATCGGCGGCGGACACTGGCGCCGATGCGGCCCAGATTGGGCTCCTTTGCGCCCGGCTCGGACTTACCCCCTTGAGAGGCCCTGCAGTATAGGGCCCTGTATAGGGTTTAGGTACCCCCTTAAGAGGCCCTGAAGTATAGGGCCCTGTTTTGACGGTTTTCCCCTTCTGAAGCCCTGGAGTACAGGCCGTATAGGGTTTAGGGTCCCCCCCTTTAAGAGGCCCTGAAGTATAGGGTCCTGTATAGGGTTTGGGGTAACCCCTTCAAGAAGCCCTGAAGTGTAGGGCCCTGTTTAGAATGGAGTATTGGGCCCTGTTTGCGCGGTTCCCCCCTTTAAGAAGCCCTGGAGTACAGGGACCTTCATAGGCGGGGTATCCCTCTTAAGAGGCCCTGGAGTATACGGCCTTTTTTGGGTTTCAGTGGTTTTGTCGGCTTAAGAAGCCCTAAAGTATAGGGCCCTGCATAGGGTTTTTGAGGATGTTGTAGTGGCTTACATGCTCATATAGGGTTGGTGATACAGGGTCTTGTTGGGTTTTGTGGGGTGTGACTCGCTGTTACATGGTTTTGTTTCGGATGGGGCTTTTGCAGTAAGGGTCCTGACAAGAGCACAGAGTGCGGGCTTGTATGTAAGGTTTAAGGTCCTAACCCCTAAACCCTAAACCCCCAAAACCCTAAACCCTAAACCGTTTGGTTCTTCGGGTTGATCTAGAAGAATTCAGGGTCCTCAGTTTCTTGATCTCGCTCCTGTGCTTGCTCTTGCCTTTGCTCTTGCTTTTGGTCTTACTTTTGCTCTTGCTTTTGCTCTTGCTCTTACTCCTGCTCTTGCTTTTGCTCTTCATGTTGGTATTGATTTTGCTCTTGCTTCGGCTCTCGCTCTTACTCCTGCTCTTGCTTTTGCCCCTTGCTTTTGCTCTTACTCCTGCTTTTGCTCTTGCTCCTGCTCTTGCTCCCCCTGCACTCGCTTTGGACCCCCTAATGCAAATTAGGCTTAAAGGGCAGGGCTGATTTCGGGAGATTGGCCCCACAGTGCTATTGTCTTTTTTTGGGTGTAATAAACAAACGGGGGAAGCGATTACACCAGGGTTCATGTGTTGGGGTCCTAAATTGTTCTATCGGTTTGCTGTCGGGTTTAGGGTCCTGATGGTGCAGAGTTTATTTATGAGGGACGCTAGTTAGTGTTAGGAATAGCTGTGACTTGCAGGATGCTGGAGTCTCTACGAATGCTTTGGTTCCTGTTGGCCTGTCGCGTAGTACACGACGGGCTTGGTGTTTGAGGGCTGCAGCAGTCTCACAGTCGAAACTTGAAACACACGCACATTCCAAACGCCGATCCCTAAATCCCTAACAACCCTAAACCCTAAAGACCCTAAGAAGCCTAAACCTTAAATCCTTAACGCACTAAACTTAGGGGTACTTAGATTTTTTAATTTTTGGTTATTATATCCCCTAAGAAACAGCTAAAATTATAATTTTTGCTAGGGTTCCAAGTTCAGTATAGTAAACCCTAGCTTAGTAGTGGCTTCGGGTTCATGCTTCAGCCCCGCCCTCGAGCCCAAACGTTTGAGTTCTTTTTTTGGGGCCTGGGCCCGTTGAAGGTCCAACCCAGGAAGCCCAAAAAAGGCCGCTGGTCCTTAGAATTCGGGCCAGGAGCTCGATATC